ATGAAGAGAAACATGTTGGCATATGCTCAAATGTTTGAACAGGGAGGGGAGGGCTTGCTCTTTGTTCTGATAGGTCTCTAAAGGAGTTTTTTTATTAGCATATATTAGTTATACTTTACAGTGGGTTTCATTACATCATCTTCATACATGTGTACACCATATTTGATGATATTCAGCTCTTATTGCCTTTTCTTCCTCTCTCACTCCTGCTAGTCCCCCCCCCATAGCTGTTCTATTTTCACGTCTTTATTCATTTTTTGGTGAATGACCTAGAAGTCTTTTTTGAAAGCAATCACAAATGTGCTTTGTACAGTGAGGACACAATCTGTCGCTGGAACGATGCCCCTGCAGCTGTTTAGCCAGACTCCCCCAGAAGACTTCACTCTTGGCCACATGTTCCACTGCATATACTTAGCACATGAGATCACATTAATGTGTGTGCTTCTTCCTCTATTAGACCATAAGTTCTTGGAGGACAAGGGCGTGGTTTGTAGTATGAACTATTTTATGTGCCTGGCCCTTTAAATAACCCTGTGCCTTTCAGTGCCAGTTGGCTCTTGGGCTTCAGGGGACTGGAGAGGATATAAAAAACCAGCAGAGGCTGAGAGCTGAGAGAGAAGAGGAGGAGAGAGCAGGTTCCAGCAGACAGAAAAGTAGGTCAGAGAAGACAGTTGATGCAGGAAGAAAGGAGATTGGGTAGGGCTAGAGAGAAGAAGAAAAGAGGTTGAGCAGAGTGAGGGTAAGAGACAGTTGACAGTGAACTGAGCTAGCAGAGAGTAGAAGACAGTTGTCAGTTAAACCAGGAGAAGCTGAGCTGAGCCAAGGGAAGGCATTTTAGGAGAGAATTAGAAGAACCCAGGAAGAGCCCACAAACAAAACAGCTAAAGAGGAGATACAAAGACTAAAAAGTAACGTTTACTAAAAAGTTAGAGTGATGGCATTCCTTTTTGTGTCCTTAGCATTTCACATTGGAATTTTTTAAAAAGAGACCACAGATGTGTGTGGAAAAGTCCAAGCATAAGGCCTATTTTCTGTCTCTAACAAAAGCCTGTCAGTATCTGCTTTGACACCCCCCCAACCCCCCCCCCCGAGGGAAGAGCAGCCTTGCTAGGCCACAGAGGAGAACTTTGCAGCCAGTCCTGAAGAGACCTGATAAACCAGGGTCAGATGGAAGGGGAGGAGGTCCTCTCCTGTCAGTGGACTTGGAAAAGGGCAGGGAGGAGATGAGGGAGGGAGGCTGGGATTGGGAGGGAAAGAGGGAGCGGGATACAGCTGGGATACAAAGTTAATAAACTGTAACTAATATTAAAACGTTAAAAAATGCCATAAAAATTTAAAAAAATTCTGTCAGAATTCAGAGAGGAAACAGTGGTGTTTTGGTTGAGGGGTGGATGGTGGGATAGGAATGCGACGAGGAGTGTGAGGTTGTCAGGCTCTCATGAGTGCACTGTGGGATGGCGGTGGGGTGGAGGGGAGCATTCTAGACAGAGTGGTGGTAACTAAAGGACAGTGGAACAAAGCAGTTTTAGGGCATCACACTGCAGTGGTTTGCAGCATCACAGCACAGGAACGTGAGGAAAAGGCTGAGGAGTACATGCCGGCTATGCTGCAGGTTTTTAATGTGTTTAATTTCATGGTGCTTACACACAATGATACTAGGCCAGTGCCCCATCACTGGTTTGTACCTCAGTCTAGCAGAGGGATCATCTATTCAGGGACAGAGCCACACAGCAACTACGCAGCAATGTCACTGAAGCATAATGGGTAGGAATGTTAGCCTGCCATGTTCTTAACTTTGTGTGTGTGTATAAACAACAGAAACAACAGTAGAAAAAAAATTTAAACGTGGTTACAGAACACGAGGACCAGTGGGTAACTGATTCATCATTGCACAGCATTATAAATTCCAGTAAACGAGGAATAATGATCAATCAGCTCAAACTACTGCTTCTTCCAAGTCTCTGCCTACTGCTCACTTTTGTTTCCTAACTTCAATAACTCTAATATATGTTTATGTATATATAGGAATATAATTTTATTTCTGCATTAGAATCATGCCCTCACATCAGCTTACTGGTTGTTCTTGGGAGTTTAAAAAGGAAAGTACAGGCATAATCGTAACATCATTTCTCCTCTCACTTTTTAGATTATTTGGTGGGCAAACTGTGGCCCCTGGACTAGGATCATTGGTGCCACATTGATGCTTGCTAGAAATGCAAGGCTTCACCCTGGACCTGATCCCAAGCCCGAGCTTTTAACAAAATGTGCAAGTGTGCTGGCTGGCCTTCTGTCAACTTGACACAAGCTTGAGTCATCTGAAAGGAGGGAACCTCAACCGAGAAAATGCCTCCATAAAATCAGGCATTTTCTTAATTAGTGGTTAATACGGGAGGTCCCAGCCCACTGTGGGTGGGGCCACTCCTGGGCTACTGGTCCTAGGTTCTGTAAGAAAGCAGGCTGAGCAGGTCACGGGAGCAAGCCAGTAAGCAGCACCCGTCCACTGCTTCTACATAAACTCTTGCCTCCAGGTTCCTGCCTTGTTTGGATTCCTGTCCCATCTTTCTTTGATGATAAACAGCGACATGGAAGTGTAGGCCAAATAAACCCTTTCCTCCCCAACTTGCTTTTTGGTCACGGTGCTTCATCTCAGCGATAACAGTCCTAAGACAGAAGGTAATTCACAAGCACACTCAAGTGCTTTACGTGATACAAAAAGGGTCCTCTCTGAGCTCTTTCCATGCTGGTGGCCAAAGTGCACTTTTAGGCTGCCATCACCTCCCCGTGCAGAAACCCTCACCGTTAAATGTCAGGTGTGACATCAGCTCTTTCAGCTCTTTCTCCGTGAGCTCAGTCCCCTCATTGGCTAGAAACTTGCCCAAGCTCTGGATGTCAATTGCTTCTCCTTAGGAAAAAATGAGCAACAGGGTGCAGATTTACTATAGCATCAACACAAAGGATGACAATGCTGCCTGTGCTTATGCAGACCACTCCTCCCTATCTCCAGCCTGGTCCCCCTCTCACAATTAGACCCTCTGTTTTCCTTTTTAAAAAAACTTTAAAAATGATTATTATTACAACTTATTCGCTTTGTATCCCAGCTGATGCCCCCCATCTCCTCCCAGTCCCACCCTCCCTCTCACTTCTCCTCTATGCCTCTATGCCCCTCCCTTAGTCTACCGATAGTAGGGGTGAACCTCCCCTACTCTCTGACCTTAGCCTATCAGGTCTCATCAAGACTGTCTGGACCCTCTTTCTCTGTGGCCTAGTAACAAGTTGCCTCACCAGGGGGAGGTGATCAAAGAGCAGGCAACCGAGTTCATGCCAGAGACAGTCCCTGTTCCCCATACTAAGGAAGCCCCATGGAGACTGAGCTGCCCATGGGCTACATCTGAGCAGGGGGGTGGAGGAAGGTCTAGGTCTTCTCCAGTCATGGTCCTTGGTTGATTCATCAGTCTCTGTAGGTCCCTCCTGGGCCCAGATTTTTTGGCTCTGTTGGTCTCTTTTTGGAGCTCTTGTCCCCTCCAGGTCTTTCTCTCCCCCCCCCTTCTTTCATAAGATTCCCTGCACTCTCCTCAAAGTTTGACTATGAGTCTCAGCATCTGCTTTGAAACCCTGCTGGGTAGAGTCTTTCAGAGGCCCTCTGTGGTAGGCTACTGTCCTGTTCCCTGTCTTCTCCCACTTCCGATGTCTATCCTGTTTGCCCTTCTGAGTGAGGATTAAGCATCTATTTTCCTATAACATGTACTCTGATATCCTCTCTGTTCCACCTCCTGTAAGATCTCATCTCCCCCTCTCATGATCCCCTTTCTTGTTTTGTGAGATAAAAATATACATATATAAACACACACACAAATAGTATTAAATCCAGATTTTACAAATAAGGGAAAATGTATTGTCTTTCTGTGTCTGGCTTAGTTAATTTAGCATAATGATTTGTAGTTTCCATTTTTTCCTGAAAATTTTGTGATTTTCTTTCTTTTTTTTAAGATTTTATTTATTATGTTCTGCCTGCATGTACACCTGCATGCCAGAAGAAGGCATCAGGTCTTATTACAGTTGATTGTTGAGCCACCATGTGTTTGCTAGGAATTGAACTCAGGACCTTTGGAAGAGCAGACAGTGCTCTTAACCTCTGAGCCATCTTTCCAGCTCATGACTTCCTTTTTTTAATTTTTATTTTTCTGAGACAGAGTTTCTCTGTGTAGCCTTGCCTGTCCTGGGACTCACTCCATAGATCAGGCTGGCTTGGAACTCGAGATCAGCCTGCCTCTGCCTCCCGAGTGCTGGGATTAAAGGCATGCAGTACCACTGCCTGGTTATTTTACTTTTCTTTACGGCTGATTAACATTGTATTGTCCGGTGTAATCAGCTCATCTGTTGATGGACATCTAGGCTGGCTCCACGTCCTGGCTATTGTGGATAACGTATGGTTATGCAAGTATTCTGTGGTAACTGATAGAGTTTTCCAGTATTTTCCCAAGAGATAGCTGTGTCATATGATAGTTTTAGTTTCAGTTTTGAAGGAACGTGCGTCTTGACTTCACACTGGCTGCACAAGCTCATATTCCCAGCAGCAGTGAGTAAGTGTTCCTCCCTCCTCATATCTTCCAGCTTTTTTTTTTTTTTTTTTTTTTGATGGCAGCCATTCTGACTGGGGTGAGATGGAGTCTCAAGTCAGCTCTGATTTGCCCTATCCTAGCTAAGGATGTTGAGCACCTTCTCAGCATGCATTGACTATTTGCATTTCCCTTTTGAGAACTGTTTATTCAGTTTATTAGATTATTTATTAATTGGATACACTGTGTTTTTGGTGTTTGGTTTTTTTGTTTTTTGAGATGGGATTTCTCTGTGTGGCCCTAGCTGCCCTGGCTCTGTAGAACAGCTTGCTTGGGCTTGAATTCAGAGACCCTCCTGCCTTTGCCTCCCCAGTGCTGGGATTAAAAATATGTGCCACCACACCTGGCTTATGTATTTCTTTTTAAAGTTCTTTATATATCTTTAAAGATATGGATAATCCCATGTATTTGTGTGTCAGCATTGTTCAGGGGCCCTGTAAATCTTCTGTGTAGTCTTCTAGTTTTATATAAGTGCAGTCAAGTGAATACTCTATATAATCTTTATAGCTAGTGTTTTAGTAATCCATGCTGTGTCATTTAGCTAACATTATTTTTTTTTAGATGAAAGTCTTGCTATGTAGCTCAGGCCAACCTCAAGTTTGTAATTTTACTATTATATAATGGTTTGTGTAGTGATTCTCATACAGGCACTTAGATATTTCTAACCTACTGCAGTTTTCTTACTACTTAGGATGAGAACAAAAATCTTGAAACAGGTTTTTAAATTTTGCTCAGTATAGCTAGTTCTGTAAGATACATTTCTAGAAGGGGATTGTTTGGGGTAAAGGGTATGACTACTTCTATGGGTTTTGATATCTGATTCTGTAGTAGAAATTTCCAGGGAAAGTTTATAATATCAGTATAAATACATGTTATGGTTTACCTGCATTCATTGCTTCCACAAAAATGGAAATATACTATGTAAAAGAATCTAAACTTTTTACATGGTGGCACACGACTATAATCCCAACATTTGGGAAATGGAGAGGGGAGAATTGGGATTTCAAGGTCATCTTTATCTATATAGTGAATTTCAGTAGCCTGGTATTCATGAGACCCTGCCTCAAAAAAGCAAACCGTACCAAAATAAAAAATTCCCTAACCATCCAAACAACCAACCAACATATCTGACAACCAAAACCAACCAACCACCCAACCAACCAACAACCACCCAACTATCAACCAACTAACCAACCATCTAAAAACTAACCAACCAATCATCCAGTGAACCATCCAACCACCAACCAACCCATCACATACATACAAACAAAGAGCAACTCTTATGAGTGGGACAGAATTTGCCCAGTATTAATAGCTCAGTGTTTTTTGGATGCTGTTTTTAAGTGTTTCCTATCATGAAACTCACCCTTGATGTAACTGACGATATTCATCAGCTCACGCAGATCCACTGTTTCGTTACCTGTAAGTTAAGGGAAGATGATTCCATGTTTCCAAGATGCATAAAAGTTATGCTCTATTACCTTCAGAAATTATGAAGAACCTAAGAATTGGGTAAATTTTTTCTAGTTTTTCTTAGAATTGTATGGAGTTTAACAGTGCTATCTTCGAAACAAAGGAAGCTTATACTATGAATGAATAATTACTGTATCTTCTATTTTTCCATTGCTCTAGAAAAAATACACTTATTTTTACTAACCACTATACCTGAAACAACATTTTTTAGTATTACTTTAGAGAGCAAACCATGGCATTAGCAGTAGAATGTGTAGCTTTGTCACTAAATAAACCACCCAAAGTTCATGTCAGTGCTGTTGTTGAAAACATGTTGAAATGTTGCTTATGCTAATCTCTATTTTAAAATGACAAAAATTTGACCTGCTAGAAGAACTTAAGTACTTCAAGAAGTATTAACCATTTGCATTTTGAATGTTTTGATAAACTATTATTTTAGTACCACTTGTTTCTTTGTAATCCTGTGCATTTGAAGACTTACTCAGGGGGTACTGTTACAAGAGATGTCGAAAAGGGTCCACTGCCAGGTAAGGTTTAAACCACTGATCTATATGAAGACAGCAGAGTGGCTAAGAGGAACAGGTGCAAAAGAGAGAGTCAGTGCTCACAGCAGGCTGACAGCAGGGTAATGTCTGAGATACTCACCGTCAGGCGGAAGTTGGGCAATTAGTTCTTCAAGTTCTTCATCTTTGATTCCAACTCCCATGTTTTCCAAGAGAGATTCCACATTTTTGATCTTGACCAATGGGCCTTAGGAAAGAAGGGCATGGGATGAGAATGTAGGCATTGATTCGTAAGGATGAAAGGGTGCCGATCATGGGCACACATCAAAAACCCCACTGGGAAGTCAAACACTGGATCCCAAGGAAACTGTTAATGCATGTACATCCCGAGACTTAGATGTATCCATCAGTGGCAGAAAAAACTGAGGGAAATAAGCACTCACTTCTTAACAGGTTTTTGTCTTTGTTGGAAGAATTACGTTTATGGAAGACAAGGATACCTTTGTCTTTTTTGAGTGTGGGTGCTAGGAATCAAACATAGACCCTGCTCTGCCTGACATTTTACAGACCTTAAGAATATTTTAAGATTAAAATACAGTAACATAAATTCCTTCATCCCCTCTCCTTACAAACCTTCCCATGTACCCCTTAAATTCATGCCACTTATTCTTTAATTTTATATATATATATATATATGAATATATATATGAATAAACATGCAAATGTAACATACAGAGTTCATTTAGTACTGCATGTATAAGTGTGAGTGTGCTTGGGTGTATGTGCAGATACATGTGTGTGTTTTGAGGGCTGACCCCTATTGGATAGCTTGTTAGGGGACTCATTTCCTGGGAAGACTAAGTCTCCTCCTCTCAGTAGTCATTACTTGTAGCTTTTCGTCTCAGGTGAGGACTCCATCAGGTCTCCCTCATCCACACTGACAGGCCAATGGATTTACTTTATTTTATGTGTGTGAGTATTTTGTGTGCATGTATGTGTGTACGCCATGTGCATGCCTTGTGCTCACAGAGGCCAGAAGAGGATGGCTGTGAACCACCCTGTGGGTGCTGGGAACTGGACCTGTGTCCTCTGCAAGAGCAACAAGTGCTCTTAGCCACTGTGCCATCTCTCCAGCCCCTGCCCTCCTTGGTCTCTACTTCTCACATAGTTATTTTTCTTGAGAACTGATTACTTCTCAGGCTGAAGAGTTTTCTGGTAGTTTTTCTTTTTCTTTCAGCCCTTGGTGTTGAGTCCAGGACTGGCACATGCTAGGTGAGTACGCTAACACTGAGCTGCAGCCCCAGCACGTTCCTTAAAAAAGTTTTTTTTTTTTTTTTTTGAGACAGTATGGCTTAGTTGTACAGGATGAATTCAGACTTGAGATTCTTCTGCTGCAGCCCCTGGTAGCATTTTAAAATATAATCTAATTAAAAAAGAACACACTGGGTGTGGTGGCCCATACTTGTAGTTCATTACTTACCTGGCTGAGATAAGAGGATTGCTGCAAACTGGAGGCCAGCCTGGGCTACAAAATGAATTTGAGGCCAGCCTGGGCTACAGAATAAGCTCCTATCTCAAAAAACAAAAAGAACAAACAAATAACAACAACAACACACGCACCAAATTAAAAGGGCGGTGTCTACATTAATAGGATACCTAATCTATATCTCTCAAAGTTCATGCAAAGCAAAGAGGCGAGTTATCAGTCATACGGATGCATCAACAAACAGGAGAGAGCAAAGCTGAACATTTTAAGAGCTAACACTAAACATAAACTCTCCCCCCCCCCCCCCCCCCGTCCCATGAGACCAGGGCCCTGCTATATACCACACACAGGACTGGAATTTACACTCCTCCTGTCCCAGCTTCCCAAGGACTTTGGGCACGTGTTACTACACCCAGCCGAGGATCTTTTACTTGCTTTTCCACGTGCATCTTACTCACCTTTGAGATTCTTCACATAGTTTAGCAATCTGTTCTTATATATCTTGCCACTAGCTGCAAGGTAAGAAACCATCCACAATGTAAGTTAATTACTGGGAAGCTGCATAAACCGCGTAAGCACATAACGTCTGTGATTTTAGGAAAAACCCTCAACCAACTTTCTACTTTGTTTGGATGTTTAGTTTTACCATAATGAAAGAATGAAGCCAAATATGAAGAGGTGAATTATAAGTATATACCTTGGTTGAATTAAAAAGTCTTAATTTCTCTTTTTCCCCTTTTATTTTCCTCTTCTTTTTTTAAAAATGTTTTACCTTCACATATGTCTGTGCTCCACATGCATGCAATACATGTATGGCATGCACACATGTATACTATACATGCAATCTGTGCAGGGTCCAGAAGAGGATGTGAAATCCACTGGACTTGGAATTACAGATAGGTTTGTATGGGTGCTGAGAACCAAACCTCTGCAAGAGCAACACGCGCTCATAATAGCCATGCCATTGCTCCACCCCTTTTGTTTCTCATCCTTTAGAGCTGGCTATGCCCAAGGGCAGCAGGAACATTTAACTTTGACAGTAGTGGTTAGTGAAAGATGTTGTCAGCCTTTAAGGGGAGTGACAAGAACAGGCAACAGGATTTCTCTTACCGTGAGAATTATGTTTTTATGGGTTTCCCTGGATACAAACACAATTCTAGAAGTATCCACCTCTCTGCCCCTCAATCCAAGCCTGAAGGTGTGTCTTTAGTACGCACCGTAAGCTGACAGGGCCTTCTGCAGTTCCTTGTACGCACTGTCGGGGAGTATCAGTCCCATTTTCCTCAGCACAGCTTTCAGATTATCAGTTCCAACCTTGTCACCTTAGGGAGATGCAGATTTTTACCAGGCAGGGATTTTAGCACCGAATGGATGATTTCAGTTCCTTACGTGTGCATGGCCATGCAGGCACTCTGTGCACATGCGCCTGTGGCGGTCGGGGCCAGCCTTTGGTCCTCAAGAACTGTCTTTTTATTTATTTATTTTTATTTTGAGGCAAGGCCTCTCCACTGGGAAGTGGGGCTTGCTGAGTAGGCAATGCTGTCAGTCAACTCCAGGGCTTTGCCTGGCTCTCCATCCTTAGCACCTGGGGCACATGTTTATGCCACCATGCCCACTTTTCTCTTGTGGGTTCTGGGATTAAAGCTTAGGTCTTCCTTCAAGGGCCTCCCTGGACAGAGCTATCTTTCCAGCCACAAGCATGGATGATTTTAAAGCATAGAAAAGTTATTTAAATGACTTATGTGGCATAATCATTTATGAGCAAAATTTTAAAGAAAATTGTTAAGCTACAAAAATTCAAAGGGCATGTGAACGTGCCATTTGTTACAGAAGGAGAATTTCTAGCTTTTTTACTCCCTTTCCAGATACAGATCACACAGCAGCGTATCGTCTGAACCCCAGGGGTTGTTACATAGCAACAGTTGTATGGAGGCTTCTCCTTGAGACTGAAGAGTTTGGCTGTTTAGACAGCAGGTCTAATTCTCAGTAGTTCCTCCTAGATACACACACACACACACACACACACA